TCATTATGGTTGTCCCGTAGTAATTATGTAAACAATGACCCTCCAGTATGTGCGAACTTGTCCCTCCATACTCGGACATTCGAAGCATAAGATAAGATAATTCTTTATTACTACCGTAAAGAAAAAATATATTTCTGATTAAAAAGTGTAATAAAGGTATAATTAAACATACGTGCTAAATTGCGGTTCTGAATGAGACAACAGTCAAAGAATGCTTTATTCAAAAACGTCATCCGACACTACCTTAAATAAATAGACCCTTAATATCATGTGACCAACTACAACGAGTATCGTCCGTGTTAATTTTCCTTCCGGCATTAATACAACACGGTTCCATAATCGTATCATGTAAAGTTTCCGTTTAGCATGAGAATTTACCCATCCTAAATCGTCGTTTATAGCAGTGGTCTGACGCAAATATATGTACACCCAGGAAATAACGAATGACTATTCTGCATTGAACCATATTCCACATGAAGCATAAATACAGGAAACGTGAGGTAAAAATGTCATATTTACAAATGATTATTATATTATGTTTCCCTAAAAAATATTTTCAATATTATCAGTGCCCAATTTAAATTTAAAATGCCACCAGCTATATTTAATATTACGGAAATTAACAACTTTAGTTTTCTCGTAATTAGCAGCTTATCCTCACTCTTTGCTTTCAATACAATATCGTCAGCATATAGAAGTATACTTGGAACCTTCATTACAAAGTAAACTCGTATTTTGTTCCTTAACATGCGCAAGATATGAAAAACAGAGTTGGATATAAAACGTCTCCCTCAATGAGTTTTACACTAACACATGCCATGTCACAATCTGAACATAGATTTGATTGCGTGATACACTTTATCCTTAACCCCATGTGTGAGTAACTTGTACATCAAAAAGTTCCTATCGACCCAGTCAGCCCTTTTCATATAAATATGAGAAGGAAACCTTGGTAAGCATTTCTCCCATTCGGTTTCTTCTTGCAGTAGTTAGAGAAAATATATAACCAGAATATGACCTACCCCTCCTAAAATCATTCTGCTCATCAATAAGTAAATTATTATAGTCAAGGAAATTTACAAGTCTATTATTAATAATGGCGCAATATACAATGCTCACTGTCCACAGTAGATTAATGCCCCTGTAGTTAAGGAACACCCCGGGATCATTTGTTGTACAACTGAACTGGGGCATACTACATTTATGTATTAAATTCACCATGACGGTCTTAACTTACTATCATTCCAGATTTGGCTCTAGCTGGGTAAGTATCTAGATTAGTCTAACTGGTAAACCAAGTGGAACACTATTATAATTCATGGTAGTTTGTCTTCTTTTCTCCAAATTCCACCTAAAAATGTAATA